ACGCATGCTCGGGCCTCTGCTTCAAAATATCCGCGTAGACGGGTTGAATCATATTGCTCTGGTGTTTCGGTTTTCACAGGATTTAACCCGTTTTAGTTCGAATAAAGGAAATGTAAGTCGATCGATAGTTTCTACCGATATCATGCTTGAGTTGTGTGAAGCGGATCGAAATATAATTTGGAAAATCGTGTTATTTTCGGGAAGTTTCGATGTCATGGTGTCAACGCTTTCCTACCTTGTGTTATTATATGAATAGTGGGGGAATTTACCGGCGACTGACTGACTAACTATGCCGATCCCACTTTAGGTCATCTTTTATTAGCCAAGAAACGTTCCGAGCGCCTGTGGGAGCCGTCCGATTCGAAGCTAGTGATTGTGACGCATGCGCAGACCTCCTGCTTTCGATAGTTTGTAGTTCCTCGCCTCGCGATCGACAGGGCCGTCAGTTTGATGAACCGAGTAACACCTTAGAAACCGTTATTCCGCGATGAAATTATTTTCTTTTGTAAATTATAAGTATTTCACCGTTTTCAGTATGTTTACGAAAAAATCATTATCAGCTATCGATAACATATTTTAAAAATTGTTTTCCAGTAGGAATAAAGAAACACTAGAGACCTTTAATAACAAAAATACGCGAATGATACGCGTAGTAAAAGTCTTGTGGTGTTTCACCACAAAATGGCGGTGTGTGGTGGCAGAGATACTTTCGGTGATCTAACCGCAAGGAACTCTGGGAAGGAGAATGAAACCGCCTATGTCATGTCAGAAGGTCGTAGCATCAGTCTCGCTATCTACGAGATGAGACTTGAATGGGATCTTTGCATGATGTCACCATACAGTACTATGCGCGTTGCAAACCCCAAGTAATGTACCTCTGATATAATATTATTATATGGAACAACAGCATCGTTTATTTCATGCATGTGCATATATCAAACTACTAGCGACGCACCTTCCCAAATGACGCCCGGATGTTCATACCACGTGATCTTGTTCACTTCAAGGGACGACGGATCATAAATACCGACACGTACCTCGGACCCATCTGTTGGTTAAAACAAATCAGGAAATGACGGAAAGTGTTTTAATCATTAATTCACAAGCAACGGTATCACGTGAAGACATTTCGATTAATTTCTGGCGTGTAGTCATGAACTCACATACATGTACATATATTAGCATATATAACATCCTGGAGAACAAACTTTGGAATGCAATTCTAATACAAAAATTGCCTAACACGAAGGCTGTTCAAATCCTCGATGTTCGTTTTGATCTGTAGTCATCCATTAATTAAAGGGCGGCAGTTGTCGCGCTGCGCATATGAGACATTTGAGTTGATAAACATTGATTTTCCCACAATCCAATGCGCTCTTCTAATGGAAATCACTGGTATGAAGTCTGACCTGGGTGCGACTTGCACTAATTACCGCCGATGACTCCTTCGATACCTTCCAATCGCCTAAAAAGTACCTAATTAAAGCCTAGTAATGTCTCAGTTTTTACTCGTTGATCTGCGCAACAGCCAAAGTCGCCATCTTTGTTTATACGTATGAGACCCATATATCTCGTACATGCGTGGCGCGACGACTACCGCCCTTTAAGACAACGTTTTTGGGAAATTTCACCATGATATTTTAGATGACGAACGACTACACAGTCAAAATAACACAATTGTCTTCCCCAAATACGTCATTTAACGTCACAGAAGCATTCTTTCACTGGGGGGCGCGATTATATGAATAGCGTATGGTAAGGCAATATGAATAAAGTGGCAAGGCTATAGGTCAATATTGCCGTCAATAAAAACGTTTAGATATAAATCTGAAATACATTGTTTTTCAAGGGAAAACATCATTGAGCCTAATATATGCTGTACAGGAGTAGAGACAAATTGAAAGCTCATTTCTAATGTAAGGCGGGTACAACACGTGATAACCACTGCCTAACACACTAATATTCGCACATATGGCGGATTTTTTTGTGTGATGGTTTTATTTTATATTCCTGTCTGGTTAAAAGAGACAACTACACATGACGAGGGTGACTTGAATTGTCATCAGATGTGCGCACAACCAACACGATTCAGCAATCTTGCAGAGAATTATGGAATATGCATGTCGGTGATAACGTATTGATGTTGTAGCAAATAGTGAAATTATGGACTTACTTTGATTTTGTTCAACTTGCATTAAACCCTGTCTGTCCCCAGATTCTGTAAACAAGACTGGTCCCTGCAAGATGAAATATATATAATTAATAAGAAATATAAAATTAATATAATTATATTATAGCCACCATTCAAGTGACAGGTGAAGTAATTTTACATGGAGCATTACAGACAAAGTTTGATATTCACATTTGATCATAAGTTATTGTTAAACAATGTCGTATTGGTCGCGGAGTAACAGAATGTATTCGGACTACACACGTGCGCATGTCTTTTGAATTAATGGTACGTACCTGAAAATCAAAACAAAGTATAATTATTATATTTCACTCTTCCTCCTCTCTAATTAAAATAAATCCTGGGGTACTTACTGAAACGCCCTCAAAATTGGTTTCACTCATGATATCGAAGAAAAGATCTGCCATATCAGAGTTATCGTACTCAAAGTCAGCGATAGACTGTGGTGGCACTGTTGATACAAGATAAGAAATATATGTTCATATGACATAATAAAATATCTCAATTGTATGTGTTATACACAAATCTGATATTTTCACATAGTGTCGAGGCATCAGTAATGATTTCAAAAAGTAATATCATACAGATGAAAATATGTATACGTTTTTTTTGATAAATCTTACCCATCGCCTGTAATCTCTGTTCCGCTTCCTGTAACATCAAGGCAATTGTCCACACGCTGTCATAACCATAGGGCGCCTCCTGGTGTCCAGATAGTGACTCAGGATCACCGCCCACATAGGCTGTATACTCCTCAAGAAATTGTGCGGTGGTCTGCAAAAAAAATTAGAAAGTTAATTCGCCGCAATTGAATAATGGACGCCATTACTTAGTAAAACTGATGGTAATGACATTTAACGGCCTAGGAATTAGATTTGAAAAAAGGCCAGATACAGTTAGAGTATTAGTAAACCCGATTCAAATTAGAGATAATTCGATTTGCTGGGTGCGGTGTTGTATATTAATAAAATGCTGTATTTCCTATTTATACCGGTGTGGGTATATGTGCATGTGTGTTCATGTTCGATTCCCAGTAATACTGTATTTGTGTCGCACTGTAAGTGGAGTTGCTGAATTGTTTGAGTTGCGGACCTCTCGTTACAAACATCGAGTTACGGAAACATTGAGTTACAAAAATGACCATGCCCTTATTTCAGAGGCCACGCCCACATTGTAATTGTACTTTGATGTTCAACTATAATTAACAGTTGACCGAACTCTGAGTTTCGGGCAACATAGATTTGTTGTTTTGTTTAACGTTCAAATTTAGTAAAATGAATTTTAATTAACAGTTAATCAAAGTTCTCTACGGGAAACATAAAAACATCAAACAAGACCACACATCGTTGTTCTGATACCTATATTGTGGGTCACTGTTCAATGGGATAAAATAACACATGGTCATTCCGGCAATATCACGATTTGTTGTCTGGCCTTGGGCTGTTGGTCACTTGGGCAGGAAACGAATCGTAATATTACAGACACATGACACGAATTAAATGAAAAGAAAGAATTAAATGAAACTCATTTTGTAAACTAGTGACATGTCACCGAACACAAAGTGCTACAAAGAGCAATGCTCACTTAGTCTCGGTCTCATTTTAGATAAAGGCTCTTAGTTGCCGAGCAACGAATGATTTGCAATTCCCCCGCTTCATTAGTATGGCCATGTATTGAACCTCACCATGGTAGACGCA